ATACATTTTGGTTCATTACATTCGTTCTTTGTTATCTTATGATTATGTTTCCCTGTTGTCCTTATTGTGGGGTTAATATGGATGGCAGCCCTGGCTATAGGACTTAGGCCTGTAATTGTCCCGGTTTTAAAACATTTTCAAAGTCGTATATGGATACGTGGTTCTCACGTTATAGTAGAACTGGCATTATTAATGGTATATTCTCTGAGAGTAAACTCCTTTGATTACGAATCTTATTAACTGACTTGCTCAGATCTTATTTTGTTAGTCGGGTGAATACTTTTTTGATAAGATATTTGGAAAATACAGTATATTCCTTGAAATTCTTATCCCTAAGTTACCGTAAAATGTACTTGAATTTACCGCTTATCGCAGTGGTTCTTAAAGTATGGGTCGCGACAAGGTCGTCAATGCAAGGGCAATCTAAGAGGAGAAGGACGAATTTTCAGCTTTCCCAATGATTCAATTTAGCTTCTAAACTCTGGTATTTAAAAATAATGAAATATAAAGTTTCATTCACGGAAAGAACTGTCTTGAGCTCATTGTTACATCACAATTCTGATATGCCAGTCACGTGTATTATTTTATGGCATCGGTAACCATGCACGTCGCTTGTCGTTGTGTTGACATCGAGGAATGTCGTCTTAGTGGATTAAAATAACCAAAAATGGGTGTCTTTTTGGTAATGTAAATTGTAATAGACGATGCAATGAAAAATCTCGCTTCTCAACATTAAATTATTCAATATCTAGAGAGAAATGTGACTTCATCTCGAGGCACCATTTACCGCGAACGAATCAGTGTGTGCACATTTGATGAGTAAAAAGTTGTATATTGCGAGAGATACTTAAGTCCAGCCAGAATGTCGTGTTTGCGAAAGACAGTGGACGAGGTTTCTGCTACAATTCGCGACAAGGCACCTGTGCGAGCGAGGATATTTGGCACTGAATGATATTAAAACTAAGCTCGCAATCGCCTCGATTCCCATGACAACTTGCGTATTGCGCTCAGTAAAATAAAGCTGTGTATTGAAGATATAATGAAAAGGAAATTTCAGTTTCATCAATCTCACTGAGTCAATGGACTGTTTCTAATAAATAGTTGTCTGTATTTGTACGAACATTAAAAACACATTTTGCGTTATTTAGGATTGGGTCGCGAGTATTCATAAAATTCAGATTTGGGTCGCGCTCGAAAAAGTTTAAGAACCACTGTATCGAGATGTATTTAGTTCATATCCCAAATTCGAGAGAATTTTCTCCGTGTTGAATTTAGGACTCGCCCATGTTTCACACCACCACCCTTCACTGAACACAGACGAGAGATTCATCGCACCACTTCACAGGAATAGAAGAAGGCATGTGAGTCACTTCACAGTGGTGCTGTCGCCCCACACGCTGTTTCACGATTAGGATCGAAATTGTAAACAATACAGATGTCAGGCATGCGAGAAGCATGGCATAGAAATGGCGCAACACTACCGTGTTTCCCCGAAGATAAGACAGTGTCTTATTTTAATTTTCTTCCGAAAAATAGCACTAGGGCTTTTTTCCGGAGTAAGTCTTATATTTTCATTTATTAAAACAAAATTACAAAGTAGAGAATTAGATTTTCAAATATACAAAATACGAAAATCGATATCCATTTACTTATAATTAACACGTTTTCATTCAAAATAACTGCAAAACATAGATCATCAACCATTTAAAACGTGTAGGAGAAATTTCTTGCTATCGACGAGGTCAAAAAATAAATTTCGCTTTATATAATCATTTCAATAAATTTTAAAAAAGTGATATTGCAAGTTTTAAAAGGAGGGCTTAAATTAAAATCCTTTTTATAATTCAGGCTAGGTCTTATTGGACACGTTTATTGGACACGTTTAATGGTCATAACGATCGTTTCAAAATTTTGTTGTTATTGTTATTTTCTTTCGTCATTATCATTAAAAAATCGCTTTTCTCTTCGAATACTGGACATATTGCTTTGGAATTTTCAGTGGTTCAAGATTGATTTTTTTGCCAGAAGGCTATTACTTTCATTTATTCCTGAATTTTCTATGAATCTCATGAGATCTAATATTTCATCCAAAATTGCGCTGTATTAATTTTTAATTATGGGAACACGGTTTTTAATCCGCCAAGCGTGACGGCTGACTGTGAAAATTCTTGCGACTGAAATCCCGGAACTTTTTGAGGGTACGGTACCGGTAACGTCAAAGGTAAACCCTGCTTCGCTCTAGTCCACGTGTCCATATATTTGAGCGTTGCGCTCTTGTTTTCATGGTAGGTCTTATTTTCGGGGAAACACGGTAGGTGAACTAGGGGGTGAATAGACCCTCCAGCACCTACCTAACCTAAGCCAATTTTTTTACCAATCCATTCAATCCCAAAAGTTGAATTGGCGTGGGTGGGGTGGAAATCAATTCAATGCTAAACTGACAATAAGATTGGCAAAGTATGGCGCAATCGTGGTGGACTACAGCTAATATAACAATAGCTTGCTTCATATTTTCATAATGATATATATTTCATTTTGAAAATACTTCTCTTCCCAATAACCATTGACCCCCAAATACATTACTGAAGAGTGTGAACTTTTTTGAAGGTTTGTTAAGTATGTTTTCGAAAAATACTTGAACATTGCGCAATGTATGGGTTACCCTGCTTGTGATTACTGAAACCATCAGTGTACTGAAAAACGTAGGCTAACTCTTGAAAGGAGCAATATAACAGCATGAAAAGATGTGAACTGGCATTCAAAAGAATCTAACAGCTACGATGATATCAATTGAACTTCTTCTGTGAGCTCTATGGTATTTGTTTTTCATATAGTGTTATGACTAGGGCTGGGAATGGTTAACCGGTTAACCCATTTTAGATGGTTAACGATTATGATTTATTTGAACCGTTAATTGACATCTCAGGTACCAATCATCTTTATATTGTACAATTTTTTCTGAAAGGATTACGTTATCGCAAATTTATCTTCTGTGGCGTTTTAATTCAAAAGAATATCACTAACTGTATTGGTAAGAACCCAATGAATGTGAAAAATAATTGAAGTACCAAAATTGCTGATTATAAAAATTTGACAATGATAATTTCAGAAGCAGTTTTTGGTCGAAATATATTGTTAACGATTTTATTCCAAAATCGTATATTTAATGTCCTCCAACAAGTGCGCAGTTGATGCTGCTTTCTTTGGGATATGTCAAAGAAGAATTTCATATCGAACACTGAAAATTTGTCACAAAAATGACATTTAATAACGGAATCGGGTTTTACTAAAATACTTCCATATGTCTGAACCACGCATATATAGCTCTTGCAGCAGGGCGATCATGCAACTATCTCGATTCGTGAATAATTTTGAGCGATATCGAGATAAGATCACGCTAAATCGCTTTGTCACCATTGTGACGTAACAAGCTTGAATTATAAACTATTATATCAAACGTCACGCAGCCGTTAACCGGTTAATTTTACCCGGTTAACGGTTAAAGTGTTTCCTCCGAAATTCCCAGCCCAGTTCACTGCGGGTCTGTTCCCTGTACCGTATTTCAAGTTGGACTTAAGACGACAACGAGTAAAACCAACAAGCCCAAACTTATTTGAAATATCTCTGGGATAGGGTGTTTAAAAATGTTATACGAAATATCTCCTTGCTTACAATTATCCTTGGCATGATGAATTATTTGTCAAACATTTCCAATTCTGTGGCATGTCTCGTATCTACAGATCTCGTCCGCACTTTTTGTGCTTCCCTAAAACAAACAAAACGTTTTCTAATTACCAAATATGGCTTAATTAATTCGCCAAATATATATTTTAAATTCTGTCGCGTGTCTGCAGACCTCGTCCGCTCCGCAGAAACGAACATACCGTTTTTAAATATGGGTTAGCATTGGTCATTCACTGTCTATCAATACAATTTGCATTGCTTTTCACTCGCTGTCAAGAATGTCTATTCTTTGTTGAAGTCTAAATTATATGCAACTGTTAGAAATTAGACTTTTTACAAATCTGATACGAAACGAAATCATATGTATTTGGAGCAACATTACGAGCGTCGTCCGGTTGAAAAAAGTATGTTATGACAATACCCTGACTAATACTCCTCTCACACGTATTACTTTTATAAACATTTTTTTAATTACTATTCATTATTCTTATGGGTTCTCATCGGTATGTTCCCCATCTCTTCATTTCATGAAGGGGGTGGGGTGGTGGTAAACATTTTGCCACTAGGATAGGATTTACATATTTATCCTGGGGGATAGGAAAGGCAATTATGTGAACGGCGAGGAGTCCAGCAATACTCTTGAACATAACTCGTGGTCCTACCAAACGTTGGCTTTTGTCCGGAACAAATCTTTACGGGTTTCGTAGGATTTATTTTAAAAACATATTCATTGGCGATTAATACCCCACCTCTTTCTTACACTGAGACATGGACGTGCCACAAACTTGCTATTGGACATATTGTCGTACTGTGCCGTACCGCTCTCGGCCTTGTACTAAAAGTTTTATTTGTATATATTCTTCATTTCTTGTCTTTCCCCCAACTGTTACAGAAGTCCTAAACCGCTGTTATACTAGAAGGGTACATGTCGCACAACTGCGTCCAAGGCCAGTAGGGCCTCGAACATGCATCCTGTCTCTGTTATAGCTTTAAATATTATGCAGATAGTGTTCCCTTTTTCGAGGCAATCAAGATACATACCACTTAAAGATAACTTGAAAACAGTTACGCCAATGCAGCTTATTCTACATCAAACCAAAGAAACAATAATAGCAAATGAGTAAATTTATACACTTGCCGACCCCTGAATGTAGTAGTATACATATTTGCTGATAATTCTCCTGTCCACAATCGAAGATAGAGGTTTAGTATGAGCTAGCTGTTACCGAAACATGCAGCGGTGTCGCTAAGTCTATGAACCATTGTACCTTGGTGCATATATAATTAAGCCCTATGAATTCTCAACTTCACCAGAACCAAGTTAAAGACTTTATTGTTCAATAAAACATTCTGATTATAACAAGAGAAAACGAAAAACATAATTACTTTTTTTCAACAAGTGGTATAATAGTAAAGTAAATATGCTATGCATGTTTATATAAATCAAAAAGTATAAAAAGGGGGACATCTTACATCGTGTATATATATAGCTGACATCAGCTGAAAAAAAAGGACCACAGATAGACATTAGCTTTAGTTAAAATTGTCTTCTCCTTTGTTAGTTCATATTTTAATGAATAGGAGCTGATAATTCTATGGTAGAAAATATACATTGATACTTTACACAAGAAGATTTGTAGATAAATAACAGAAGAGATTTTCTGTCCAGCACGGTTGAAATGCACAATGCGAGAGATTTCACAAAAGAAAAATTGCTATATGATTGAAAAACAATAATCTTTTACTACCAGAGATGTGAAAAGTAGTTGGGCCTGTACTCAATACATAAATCAATGACATAAAAATACCCCAAAAAATACTATCAAATTTATAAATAAATATATTCATTCCATCACTGGAACAAAATTGTTATTTACATTTACTTGGACAAATTAAAAATAGGACATCAAATATTTGGGAGAAAACATCATTTTAAACTTGGTTTTGTTGCCCAACAGATCTCTTCGAAAACAACATGAAAAACTCGTAATTGAAATGAGGTAATGCGGTTTACTTTTCTCTATGTTGCCCACATTAAAGTTGAATTAATAATATCTGGCAAGCATCATTGGTAAAGTTTCTACCTATTGGATTCTTGCTGATTATATGGGTATTTTAACAAAATGTTAGTGTGACCTCTTTTAATCAACCAAAGAGAAAACTGTGCCACATAGTGTACGAGCAAGGATCATAGATAGTACGGTGATTGGTGCTCAAAAATTGCACAAATCCATCAAAATGACAAAAAACTTGACTATTGAAACCAATAGATCTAATTATTATTCTACAAATGGGCAACCCATTCTACTCTATTCGCCCCATAATTGAATTGAAAAATATCCTACTGAATATGGTGTGTAAAATATAGGAATGTTTCAGGATAAATTATAGGATGTGCTGTTTCAATTTAGTTTAAACTAATGATTATTAGTATTTGCATCTTAACATAGGACAGTTAAAATCCTATTTGAATTTGCTTGCAATATTCGGAAGGTACTTTTGGAAATACTATAACCCATGTTATATGCATATTCAAGATGAAAAGTGGATCCTATTGATTTTGATTCTTATTTCATTCATATATTGAGCAACTGGGCAGCTAAGTGAGTGTATAAAGCTGAATCATTAATAACATCTCAGTACATGTCAATATATGTGGTAAGACGGAAATTCTAGTAAAGATATAATTCAATAGACTTTCCAACAACATAAAAAAATACTGCTGAAAATTCAAAAAAATGCATCATTATTTATTTATAACCAAACAATATAATATAAATGGAAAATGTTTATTTTATAGAGTACAATGGAGGAACATTTACAAAACATTAAACAAGCAGGAGACTGTGTTGTATCAGTGGCGACACTGGAATCTATGAAGATATCCTGGACAGTGAGGTCAAAGACTTCAATATATTTCTTATCCTGTTAGATATTTTCGATCATTCACGTTACACACATCAAGGACAGACACTGCTAGGTCTTATTCATCCATGTCATATGATTTATCCCAAAAAGTCGGGGGTGCCAACTTTATGTAACTTTTCTGAATTCATGGATATGAATCAATATGATGCTCCCAACATGCATACATTCATGTGATAATTTTCTGCCTGAGTTATTGATTCATATGCAGAAAAGATGGAATTTCAAATCCGTTTGATGTGAATTTATCCTCAGTAATAGTTACTCGATTTGCTATTCTAATATGTCTAAGAGCAGGTAGTTTCGATGGCAATACTGGGATAGCCAATGCAGCTTGAAGTACTAAAAAAGCGCTTTGAATTCGCTTAACATATAATCGATAATTTGATTCTGATACATCATATATACTGCCATATGTCCACCGCCTGGATCATGATGGTTTGTAAGTTCAGGTGGTTTTAATAACAATGTAGGTCCAAACACGATGGCAATATTTTGAACTTGCATCCGATTTGATTCACTATGTTCAACAACCCTGCAATAAAAACAGATCATTTTGAAACAAACAAGAGAGAAATAGAGCAAAAGGGTGAGTAGACAGCACAAAAAAATTCAATTTCTTCAAATATTTCCACATGTTTCGGTATAATACGTTTAGATATGATCATGCATACTATTTACAATGAAACTACAATATCAGCTACATTACCTCACCAAACAGGAGTAAAAACAAGTTAAACTTACTTGCAAAAGTGCAGCAATAGATATTTTAATGTTTCTTTGTTTGGTTTTGGCAGAGCTCGAATTAAACTTTTTGTTGCATCATGCCTTGAATTTTTGTCAGAAATTTCTAAAAAAAAAAGAAAATCTATACTAGTATAGCAACAGAAATGTTTTTGAAGTATTGAGAATTATCATAACTATGTGTTTTCTGAAAACGTAGATCAATTTATGTATAAATTTGGCTTTCGAAGAAGTTTATGAGATTACTTTAATATCATCAATAACTAACATAAGTTTGTACTTCAGATAATTTTTAAACTTTTGAACGAAAAGCAGTTAGAAAATGATTGACCAACTTCGGCTCAAGAATAAACGAGTAAAAATGTTAACATACTACATGTAGCAATGAATTTATCGAAGAATGTGAAAGGTATAACAGGTTCTGGTAATTCTCGTAAAAACATCTTAAGAGCTCCTGTAATAACATGAATATCTTCCCATTCAGGATCACTGAAATTCACTGGTATTTCTGAAATAAAAAGTTGGATAAGGCAAAATAATGATAAACATATCATTTTTTATTGCTATTTCACAGATTCCAAATAAAGCTTTATCACTTTGTGACTTTCATAGAAACAAACTCCATAAATATTTTACATTTCTTTTTTACGACCGATGACAGTAGAGATATTCCAATACACTCAAAAATATCTATATTCAATATAGTGGGACTACTAAATTAGGAAGAATTTTCAAAGTTGAACAATATCATTTTAACAATTTAAACATGACTGGATCAAAAACAACATAATATCAGTAGAAAATAAAATCAAACAAGTAAAATTTATGCCAATGTATTTATATGATGAGAATCTCTATGAATGCACAAAGTTTTGTTATGATCTCTGTTTTAACATAACCTAACCTAGATTATAATTCTCTACTATATTTTTTCAGAAGGTATACAAAATATCAAATCAGAATGGTAAAGAAGTTTTTTATGATTTACTGCAAAAAGCAAACTTACCTCTGTCTACAGTGTATCTCAGTTTTTGGACATGCGATAAATTCCCACTAACCCTGTAGATTCCATCAATATTTAGACCTGAAATTATCATATGTTTATTGACTACTAATAAGAAAGATCACTCAGAGCTTATTCTACGCAAGAATAAGACAAACACCAAAGATACAAAATGGTCTAATGAAAAACAAACCCAAATAATTTGAAACATATCGCCGGATGAGAACAAGACAGGCCTGAGTCACAATTTTAAGTTTTGAGGAAAACGTAAAAAACAATTCTGAATTTCGTTATTTTTGAATTTATTTTAAATATTCACACTTAGTAAAGACCTGAGCTCTGGTTATTTTAATGTGAATAAGAATATCTTTGTAATCAATATCTTTTGGCACTTCCTTTCTGTTTTTTTACACCAATGAAGAACTTTGACCCAACCCATTTCAACAACTTCTGAAATTTTGAAATTTCAAAAAAATTGTCTACTTCTGTTCTCATCCGGCGATATTATTCTAGAAAGAACATAACTTTTGTGCAAAGCGTCCTAGATTACTGAAACTTTTGAGTTATAATCATAAAAAAAAAGAAATACAAGTGCCTAAGTATTGAATAAATTGTCTTTATTGTCGTAGAATAATTAGAAAATTTGAGAATTCTGTTGTTTTGGGTCATCCCTCACTATTTTTATAAATTTTCAAGACGACACCAAGCGATATTTCTATTATTCAGCTATTCAGCATGGTTGGCATAACTAATGAGGCTACCTATATTGATGATATTGTCATCAGGTACAGTTGTACAAATATCATTGTATTGTTGTTATATTCTTCATACACAACATTACATAAGCTATATAATGTACCATGTATTCTACATTACAATAAAATCACCTCGTTTCTCAACTTCTTCCACACATGACTTGACAAAATAAGGAATATTCGTTCCCTGTTTGTCACACAATTTATCGAGAGGACAACCAAACACTGTTTCTTTAATTAAACCTCTTTCTTGTAAACTTTCCATTGTTGGTCTTCTACCAATAAATTTCTTCAGTTTACTGCGTACTTTGTCTGACTGTCGTGCATCAGATCCATGCCTGGATGCTAATGATAAATTGAAAACATGTCAAAAAGCTGATAATTATATTGAAATATTGGTATCTGTTATCAATATCCAACTGCACAAACTAAGCCAATATAAAATTCTGATTTTTTGAAATAATATTCCCACAAAAGTTTTGAAAATAATTCATGAAATATTGCGAAATAAAATGAAAATTACATCATGCTACACTAATAGCAAGATAATGTCAATATTCGGCCAAACACAATTAGTTAGTCCAACCAACCAACATACGTGGTTTTCCCTTTTTATCTTTTTTCTTGTCTTTATCTTTCTTCTTTTTATCTTTTACATCCAGATGATTGTTGTTCTCCATACCCTCGTCTTCTGTGCTACCGTGACTATCTTTTCTTGGCATAAGACTCTGGTCCAGTGGTTCGATGTTATTCTGAAAGCAAAATTATAAATTCAGGACAATGCAAACAAAATTCAGGACAAAATTGTTGCATTACTTGAAATAAATTCAAAAATCATACCAAACAATGTTTATTTGATAATTAGGGATAGATAGCTCACTTCATGAATCAAGCATAAAATTGTGAAAAGGCAAATGCCGATATGTGACCCATGTTCAATTCCAGCTCATCCAACGATACGTTTATGTGGCGCGAATGGCTACTTTCAATAAGAGCGACTGCTCCTGGTAAAAGGCCCTGTGATGTGAGGCGCCGATTTTATAAAACAGCATATTATAACAAATATCTAGAAAACTTGACCCTGAGTTATACTCTCATATGCTAGTTATAACAAATTGCTCAAAACCGCGGAAGCAAAATAATGACTGCAACAATGAAACCTATTATAAAATGATCAGGGCAAGCATACCATCAAAAGAGGTAACGTTAGTGGATCACTGTCATAGTGCTTCTTATATGTAATATGTCTTGAAAACCAAGATGGTTTCTTGAAACCAGCAAATGTAGAACCTCTGCCTCTATGAGTAATGGTCTGACATTTCTCATAAACAGATGGCTGATATGATAAAGTTTTGACTTTATTTGCATGCAAGTGAGACAGAAGATCAGGAGTTCTCATTCCAGTGATCCCCAAGTCATCACGTCCTCGGGAAGACAAATAATGCAAACCACCAGATTGTCCATTCGCTTCTAGTGGTATATTCTGAGCAGAACAATGTGACTCAAGTAAATCTATGGGCTTTGTAGCAAGCATCTGTCCTTGTGAAATCTTTTTGAAATCAAATGGAGCACTCATTGATGCTTTTAGTTGATCTCTTGACTGTTTCTTTGAATCAGACTTGAAAAACCTCAATGATTTTTTAAACGACATAGGTTTAGTGCAAGTTTGCGTCATGTTTTCATTTGCATTTTTTTGGAATTTTTCCACAGTTGTAGATCTCAGTGACTCGCATCTCTCACTTGCTTCTTCTACAACCACAGACTCTGAGCAACCAGTTTTTGTAATATTATTCTGTAGTGGTGGGATGAGCATATCTTTACGAGTATCGTGAAAGCTTAGGTTTTTCAAATCCCTTTCCAGATTCAATTTTTTTCTATGTTTATTCCGAGGTGGTTTCTTGGGAGGATTATTATCTGTTGTTTCTTTGAATGCAAATCCATCAGAAAATGGATTCCCATCAGTGACAGGTGATATTGAAAGCGGTCGACTTCCATAAACTTTCATGCCACGACTGAATTCCATCTTGTTATCAAAACAAAAAACATCATTTTCAAACGGAGTAACATTACTGTCATTCTTTGCGCGATATACACCTGGCAGACCAAGATCCAAGCCTTCGGACGAGACAATTCGTCCAAGGGTAACACTCTTGTTAGGCCTATTTTTCAAAGTGACTGATGGTTCTATATAAGATTGCGATCTCCCAAACTTAAAAATCTCATCCTTACTCGATTTACTAGACAACGTATTTGATCTTTCATGAATTTTTGAAGATTCGACATGAACACTCATATTTTCAAATTAAGAGAATATCTGTTCTGACAATATTACGATCAGATTACAAATCTTAATAAGTAACAGAGAATATTTTCCACAATGCTTGGTCGTTTGCAATGTCTGGAAAACGACTTTTGAAGTGGTTTAAATAATACTGACCTATTCAAAAAGCAATTCAGGATGTTGTTCGAGAATTGCCTTCCATGTTTTCTTACATGTTTACCATCATAAATGCTGACACCAGATGAACTGTTCGTCAATTTGACAAGTGAGCAAAGGCATAGTCCCATCATAAGTAATTAAAAAACCAAAATTTCAAGCTCCCTCAAAATTTATTATTATCCACCTTTATTTAATTCTGCACCATTTAAATGTGATCTATTAATGAGAACGCAACAGCTTATTATTAACTGCAGTAACATTTTGTTTTTCAAATCCCATCTCACCCTATTCCCCCTGCCCCCTTGTCAATGCATAAGTGTTTAATGACAAAGCATACTTCTAAACATTGACATTCTTTTATATTTGAAAGCAATGCATCAATGAGTAAAGTAATAAATACAAAATCATGTAGCCCATATTGGGCAATAAACTCCTGAACAATAGCAACAATACTAATCCATCTGCCAGTAAATTCGAGATTAAAAATCAGGGGTATTGTCGTGTTGCTAATGCTAATAATAAACATTCCAGTTTCAAATACCTTTCGAAAAGCAATTATATAATTAAAACACACAACTTATCTTCAAATATTATTTAAATTTATCATCACAAATAAAAAGGGGAAAATTTAATATGGATGGTAGTCCATATCGACTTGTCGAGTTCATACCTCATGCTAAACATCATCAAAAACGAGAAATATTCAACAACAGAATGAAAGTAATTCTACTTGAAGCTATCGACAGTGTTTAACTGATTAATTGAATAATTGAATCAATTGAATTAACAAAAAATAAAATAAAACATCACAGTGCTTATCAAAAATGTACTAAACTGAAACAAGAAAAGTATTCAGTACCATTATCGAACCTGAATTTGAACTTATATTAAACAGTATTTGAGAAATTCAATTAGATTCTCTATTTTTCATATTATTTGGAAACTAAAAATACTAATGTTGTTTAAATTTAAATAATACAATATTTGTCAAACATGACTCAAGCTATACCATATTCACAATAAAATAAAAAAACATTTAGAAAACAAAATTTATTTATTAAAAACCAATATAATTGTTTTATTGCTATATAATTTGATTCTTACTGGTAAAAAGTATTCAACAACATCTTTAGTACATCTATGATCGTTTCTTAGACAAATATAATTGGCTAATTTTGCCTGGCTCAAATGTAGACAAAACATTTTAGTTATAACATTTCTTTTGTTAGCAGAAGAACAGTGTATACATCTAGATCTATAAGGCAGATATCAGGAATTGATTCTTTTTTCTGCAACACGCCAAGCAAGTTCAAATATATTTCCGTCAAATCTTTCATTACGATTTTTCACAACTCGAACTTCTTTGATAACCTTTGACCATGATGAACTTGGCGATCTTAGAAATACAGTCGCTCTCGAACATACATCCATTTCAAGTTGGGAGAAAATATCTTCATAGTTTTCTTTGAGGCCTTCACAAGAGGAATATTTTAAAAGATGGTCACGAAGATCCAAATGTGTGAGAATGTGTATGTTATTGTCAATTCCTTCCTCTTCCAACGCTTCCTCGAATTCAACTTCAATCTCTTCTATAAAGGGTTCCATATTTAAAGGGGCAGCAATATAAACTGCTTCAATTTTCTTAAAAAATTTCTTTCCTTGCAATGAACGAATGAATTGTAAAATCGCTTTTGCAATATCTCGAGGCTCGGTGTGTTTAACTTTGTTGCACATTTCAATTAAAAATTCTTTGTTTCTCTTAATTAGTCTTTCTTCTTTACGACATCTGACTTGCCAGTCAACAGGATCATAACGCCAATGAACAGATATATATTCAACATCGTTCAAACCATATGAGGAAATGAAATCATTTATAATCTCAGTAATGTGTTTCGGCTTGGGTGTGCTGTGAACGATCAAAGAATATAACTCCTTATCTTCAATTGAATCTATATTAACATGTTGTTTTACATTGAGAGTCCCATTATCAAAAAAACTTTTTCCAAGACTTTTTCAATGCCCCTGGCGACTCCTTTACACCAACAGTTCGATATGGCTTTACATATAACGCACAGGTTCCTGGTGAACCATACAGTTTATAAAGTGATTTTTTATCTGAGGTTACCTGAGACTGAGCTGAAAAAGACGGATCCGCATTTTTGGGATACATGTTGATCCGTTCCCCATTTTGTTTGCCATGTATCAAAACACCCAACTCTTCAGCGACATGGGTCATAGATGAATGCATAAGCTTGTAACTAGTAAAATATATATCATCAAATCCATCAGCACATGAGTCACTAATTGATTTGAAAGGTAAAACGGGCAAAAGGGCTGCTAAAGCGGCTACATCAATTCTTTGAGAGGTCGGTATAAATGTATCAGATCCATTCAATGTTGACGTATCAGTTTTATGTTTGTAAAAATGTGGCAAAATGATGGTACGATTCAATCTGATAGCAAGATACAAAGTATCACGAAGACCAATAAGCTGATTGTTCGGGCCGTTTGTTAAAACTGGGTAAATAAAACGGTTGGGGTCCAAATTGATTAAAGGCTTCCCTCTTCTCTTTATTTCATCCCAGTCTGTTTTCCATGAGTGCGAACACATTTGACTTGCCTTCCTGGGGCTATCTTTGGGCTTTTTCTCTGTAGGAGGCGCTTTTAAAGTTTTCTCAGTCTTTGAGCTGCTCACTAACTTTTTTCTATTAATCGAATACATTCTTGATACTGAGTGAATCTTTTCAGTATAGCTTTGTTCATCTTTCAAAATTAAATCATTCACAGACTCCACATCAACTTCAGATTTGGAGTATTTCCTCTCCATAAAAACATAATAGGCATAGGTGACAGCGATGAAAAGTGCTCCGTATTGGAAGAATTTTACCTTGGCACGCGACCTGGTTGCAGTCCAATGCATGGTTTATAACAAATTCATTTCTTGGTGAACAACAAAACTTCAAACCAACGTGAGAAATGTCGTTTGTCGCCGACGCAAACTTTAGATTTTACCACACAATAAATAACGCCCGAGGCAAAATGTTACAATGCTTCATAATTCATAATTATACAACTGGCAAGTTGTATCACATTGAAGAAAGCATGATGTTATTGCAATCGTGTCAAGAATGGCCAAAGTAACATTTTTACAAAACTGCAAGCGATATATAAGTCGAGTCTTGTGTGCAGTTAATAACAATTGGTATGTCTATTATTTTAGTTTGATCATACTACGTGGTCTGTCTTTAGAATAAGGCTGATTTTTGTCTCTTCCGAAAAGACATTGGTACATACATGAGTTGTGAGTTGCCCTACTAAAGATGTCGATTCACATGACAATATAACACTAATAACAAGATCGTATTTCTAACTTGAACGAATTTGGGAATTTTTTCATCGTCAAAAACAAATTTAAAATCACTAAGATGTCGCGGTGTGTTTGTATCATTAGTATTATAATATATTTCACGGATATTCTGTTTTACATTGCAAACGATTTCACAATTGTCCAGTGTTACAAAACAATAAATAAGTTTACCTCAATCATAATATATTGTCTGTTACTGACATACGGCAATGTGTGGCCAGATAACTACATCAGAAATTCGGCAATTTCCGCACCTGGCGAAAGGGTGATCTAGCACGATGGAGCATATTTCTGTTAGTTTAAATAAATATGATATTTCCGAAGCCGAACGAAGGTATAGATACCATTGTTGCACGCTCATCGGCGGCCATGCTCGATACATATGCGTAAATATATGCCTTATATAAAAATGAATGATGCAATTAAGATATTTTTAAATGCACAATAAAAAATATTTAATTTGACACCTTTTCCGAGATCTGCAAATCAGGTATATTCTAATAATACTGCGTCATGCAACACGAATATGCGTCATTGGCAACTATAAGTTTTGCTCATGTCAATTGTTCAATGAATTGGCAAAATTATGCTGACTGACAGTAGAGCTAATACGTTACGCAGAGCAGAAATATGGTCTATGACCAATATCAAATGATATGACCAAATTTGGAGATACCGGTAAGTGAATATGGACTAGGTGAAGTCAAATAATACATAACCTAGGGATAACCGAGATCAAAAAGTACGAACGAGCACACTTAGTTGAACGAAAACCAATCTGCATTGCCGATACTTATCGCTACATCCTCACTTGGCAGTGAGTTCGCACCAACTTATCTTCTATAGATCACGCTCTACCATATTCAGTTTAACTTTAAAGCGAACACAAAGGTACCATCACCCTAAATTTTATGTTGTAGTTTCTAAAGTTATTCTTTTTTTTAAATCGCCACGCGCGTGTAATAATAACTGGTACTTACCACTGCGTGCACATTTCTCTCATTCTTTGATGATCGTCTTCGAAACATATTTGTATTAAATACAATATTCCTAAAACTGCTACAGTGGAAATTTCTATATTCCAATATATTCCCAGCGCATAGTCTATCACTGCATAATATTTAAAAATAAGTTTTTTAATGTCATTAAAATGTGAATGGAAAACGATTGATAAATATTGAGTTCCAGACACCATTAGCGGTATTTTAATCTATTCAGTTCTTGCGGAAAAACCTATTTTCGATTTCGATGAATGCATACTGTTACAATAAATTTTATTGCCGATCACGAATTGCGATACGATCATGCATAAATTGACATAAACAAACTCGCGAAACTAACTTCAACTGTTCAGAGAATGGTTTTACACAAGTACCGTATATGTAGTTCGTACGACAGCGTGTTATATATATATATATATCACCTTTAGTAAATTTAAATTCTGAATTTAAGATGTAAAAGTTGCAACTTATAAGCAATCATTACAACAAAAGTTAACATAGTTTGAGGCCTAGTCATAGATATTAGCATAACATCAATATATTTGAATAGCAATGAGTGCCTGGCTACGGTATTTTTACATCCGACCGGTCAACGAACAAAGCCCGTGGTCCATTATTTAATTTTCCCTTCTCAATTAGCTTTCCTCATCCTATGCTTACATCTAAACCCAAACGTCATTGAAAAGTCAGAGTCAATAGCGGGTCCACAAAACGTGCAAATTACAGCCGCAAGTGTCATAAAAACGTGTTGAAATCGAAATAATCTGTCATAAATTACATGCGTCGTATACGTCCAGTTCAGATCTTATTTATCATTGTTTTCTCGCCTATATCGGGAAAGCGATATAACAGAAAGCGAACGTTCAACTAGTATTTGTGTAGGATTCAGCATAACAAAATACTGGGTAATAACATCTGGATACTCTGCTCTCGATAACGCGATATAAGGAACGATTTGATTAAAGAAAAGATTGTTTCCATCTGACAATACTGCAGCTTGCATACATATATCGACATACGCTGTCCACTATTTCTTAACCTTATTAATTGGACTACCCAACAAGTTGAAATGTTATATCCAAAATACCAGACAACAAGATGTCTTCTACGAATAAAAATAATGTAAATAATAACACATTAACCGACATCATAATTCAGTGTGCATACTTAAAAGTACACTAAAATATTGCTATAAATGCATGCGCTACCATCGCATACGCTGTGGCAACCTGCCATATTACTAATCGACTTGTAATACGTGTATCATAATCTACTATACGATTTCATTCACGCTATTCAGCCACAGGAAGCTGCCTGGAAATGGGGGTGACGTCATCACCGTTGAAACAGATATGCAGACGAATTTACCGTTGTTACTGCAAGTCAGGCGTCGCACGCATGTATAGCAGAGCATGGTATGTTTAATAAGGTATATATCTGATATATAACCCAAAGAACGCCTTGTATCCTTCTCAATTATCTTGATTAAATGAAATATCCAATCTCATACCAGTGTTCCCATTGAAAAATCATTAATGAGTAATATCTCGACATTTTTATATCTATCCCAACGTGAAGTCGACAACGGTGGGTAAACGTAGTTCCTCATAGGTGAATCTGTCGCTAAAGTTCCGCATAATACATCCAGAATCAATGAGCAGAAGCCATTTATTGTTATTAATGGCATCATGCGCAATAGTAATTCAACAAAGCAGCACATAGAAACCTTTTCTACAACATTATATACTGTGGTTAAGGGCGAAGTAAATTTAACATTAACTTGAATAATAGCGAATTATGATAATTTTGAACGTAAAAAAAACGTCAATGTTGCTGTCAAAGAATAAATAGTGAAAATTTGTAATAAAATCATTGGTAGAAAAAGCTCATAACTGTATCTATATTATACAAATAACTCACCGCACGATTTATTGCTGTATTGATAGATTTGTACCATTCATTTATTAAAATCTCATCCTCCTGTTGCAGAAGGAAGCAAAAACCTCGTACAGTACTAACCTGTCATCAGAAAAAGAAATTAAAATTGGATAAATATTGGTCTTCAAATATTTAGGTGAGTTGCTATGCTTCACAGCAAGCAATAAAATACTATAGGATTCAGCTGTTTTAAAACTTTTCCATCAGTAAAACTTGCAGGTAATAGCGTAACATTAACTTTCAGGTTCTAAAGCTGGGCATCAGATGAATCAGGCTTTTAGTAGCATGTTCCGAAATCCTATTTGTTAAATCAAAGTTTTATCAATTATGAACTATAAGTATCAAGGGATACAAAGTTCAACACTTCTAGAAAATTATTTTTAGTCAGACAGCTTAGATTAACTAGCAGTTTATAGAACTTTCTTCCAGTTTTAGAGTCATGTTATGGCATACATCTCATACATCAGCATATTTTGCTCTCAGTACTTTTGATGCTAAAGTTTTGTTATATGGTACAGGGTGACTCCCCTTTCGAAAAAAAATAAAAACAGAATCTATAAATTTCTTAATTACTTGAACCAAAATGAGGAAAATTGATCTAACATTTGAATTTTTGTGCGTCACTATAAGTTTCAATAATCTAGGAGGCTTTGCACAAAAGTTATGTTTTTTCTATAATATGTTCCAAATTTTTTGGTTTCTGCTGTTTTGGGTCACCATGTATAACACTATAAACATTAAGATGTTGAAGCCAAGCTTAACAATCTATGTTATAAGTAATCTTCACACTATATCAAGCTATATATCACCAATTTACACCATTTCTATACCACTGTAATCTTTGTTTTACCACCTTTATCCATTGTGTTAAACTATATTAATCACACCTGTATAAACCTAACCATACCAATATTCTATATAACTTTTCACATGACTCTAAACTGTAATGGTTGCAAATAAAGAGTATAGAGTATAGTAGTATAGAACTTCCATTCAAAACATACAGTTGCTCTATCATTCTGTTCAAGGAAGCTGTACTACTACTATGTAGCAGATGGAATACACTTAACAAACTGTTCATTAATAATATGTCACCACAATACAAAATCTTCCACCCGCAAGAACAACAATGACTGAACAGGATGTTAATAGTCATGGCGTTCTTTTAGAAAATGTATGCAAATCATATTTGATCACACTCTCGACTGATCATAGTATCGTATTCACTACTGTACAATGCATAACTCACAAATTTCAGAATACTTACGTCTTGGATCTATTGTGAATAGTCATCGACATTGTGATAGACAATGCCTTTTTTATTTTTATTCTTATACAGTATTCAAAGACAGAATATATAATAGTTATATTTATAAATCGAAACCTATTGCATGCAGTAACAGAATTAAAGACTTTATAATAGTTACTTTGTTGAGAAAAAATATGTCATCATATTTTACGGGTCTGAATAGACGATTAGACGTCAATAGCGTTGATCTTTTCATAACATCATACCTCAAACACATTTTTCTTGCTACTCTTTTCTTTAGCCCATTCCACACAAGCACCTCTCAATTCACAACTACTTTCTGGTTTTCCAAGTGGGTTTGCCTTGGTCTAGAAACAATAGGTTGCTAGTTAGTGAATGCTGCATTTGATGTAAGTGTATTACATTATATACATAGAAGAGCGTCAAAGCTTAGTTTAAAAAAATAGCTGAATCATATGTTAGGAGAATACTAAAAGTAAGACTATACCGAGACAGTTGGCGAGTATTGGGTATGACAAATTACAGATATTTCAGGAAGTTCAGAACAATAGTGGTGTAGGTTTTTTTTGCGCGCTCCAGAAATGTGTATACCAATATGGAGGTACGGTACCTAATTCCGTTCGCCTGATTTACATCAAAGACAGACAAGTCCCCGGACTTGTAATAGAACTAAAATAAGGAAAACCGGAATAAAATTATGGCCTAACCCTAACCTGGTACACACACTACGTACGAGAGTACCTTTTTTGTATGACAGTAATAGTATTGACGAAGATGATATTTTTGTCCTAGAGAAAATCGATTACAGGATATACTTGAAACTGTACACAGTGATCAGTGAGTGGGCTTTGTTAAAAAGAATTCGATCAACACAAGACAGGGAACACTTGTATAATTTGCATAAAAAAAAAGCCGGAACACATGCCTATACTTTCCACTCAAGCAATGCCTCAGTTATTATTGGCAGTACATACTAAATGAAAATGACTCCACACAATAACCAAAAGCTGTTGTTTTCCCGATTATCAAGTTGACAACACAAAATTATTTTCAAAAATGCATACCATATGTGCCTGCTTCTGGTCCTTATAAAATAAAAGGTTGTTCGACAATAAAACAACCCAAAGTTGAACCCAATTTTTTCTTATCTTTTTTCCCGCTTCAGCAAGTTTGGTCCAGTTTAATCTGCCTTGTCGCTCTATCATCTGGCAACAGCAAATAGAAATTTAGCAAATTATAACAATGACAATAGTATGTATACATGCGCATATCACTAAGCATAAATACTACTATGTATAAACTAAAGCCAAGCTAAAATCTACGGAGAAAATAAGCTACAAAATACTGACCATTCTTGGGTTTTACACACAAGAAAAATATAACTCTAATTAACAAACATGACCTCATATTGAATAGATAATTAGTTATAAAATCACCACACAACACACCATTGTTAGGCACGCCACCTGTCACTTTGTTGGCTGAATTTCTTCATTATCGCTTACACATAAATAAGAATGTCGATTAATCAAATGTATAATCGGAAAGTTTAATTTGAATATTAGAAATCCGACTCAAGACATCTCAAATACTGAAAGTTTAATTTCGGCGAGTATAAAATTTCAACACAGACTTATCAAATACCGGATTAAAAAAGACAAAATTCAGATTAAAAATACCGTAAGTGGAAAGCATTGAAGCATGACAAGTACTGATTGAGCTTTGTGCCACAATTACAAGCAGTTTGTGACAATTGTTTAAAAAAGTGTAATAAGCAAAATAATTAGAGACAAGAAAAATTAACACCCACTGGATGAGGGGGTGGTGCAAACAAGTTTCGTTGTCCAGTCAAAATCCCTGGTGCTGTTGCCTGCACAAAAATATTTTCAATATGGTCAGTAGACTAATTGCGAAAAAGCAAGTTTATTATTCACTTCCAGGCAGCATGCAGGTAATATTTATGAAATAGGCAAATTACATTCATCAATATGTTCACTGCAACAAGAATACCTTCGATGAATATGCAAAACCAAAACAAACATGATAACGTGAAAAGCAAACACAAATTATCTTACTCATATTCATATTACATGATTCACACTTTTTTCCATGATTAAAACAATCTGTATTAATTAGTATTCATGATTTCCTAGTGAATCAATTTTCGTTTTCATGTTTTATTAAAGAATATTGAGAATGTGTGATCATACAAGTTAAAGTAAAGATATCATTTATATTTAAGATGAAAAATGTAAGTATTTAATGGAATCACACATGATATATGATGCATATGATAGGTTATAGAGAATGTTAAAGTTGAATCAGTTGAAAGCTCAACTATTCGACGGAATAGCAATGAGAAAATGAACGCAATTTCGAAAAACTAAGAATCAAAACAATGAAATTTAAGTAAATCATAAATACAAGAGCAAAATTATCTGAAACTGTAAATTTTGGTCGTACAATAAAGTCCATTATAAGTTTAATTGAACGATTATTAATGCTGGAAGATCACTTGACATATATGAAGTATCATGATTTTCTTAGTCAGACTAGATATTCCCACAGTAAGACTTGACACATATGACCGCATCTTATTTTAGGGTGCAAGACGTTTTAACAAATCAACAATATAACTGGAGTAAGCAAATACACAAGCAACATATCGTGGCGGACCTATATCCGCAAAATTGAAAATAACACACAATAGAGTTCGAAAGATTAAGACATATACTGTGATTAAAAATTCAGTTGGCAAAAATTGCAGTCTGAAAAAAACATTGTGACTTGCGTGCTTGGCATACATGATTTAAACCCCATGCCAGGAAATGTTAGTCAAACAAGTGTATATTGAATGTGCATGCGTGCATGAACTACAAAAAGTCAATTAATTCTAACATGTTTGTCTGTTACATTCTAGTATGGCTATGACAAATTAGAGTACTCCCATAGTATGTGTACCAGGTTAGGGTTAGGCAATAACTTCATTCCAATCTTCCCTATTTTAGTTCTATTACGAGTCGGGGACTGTCTGTGTTAGTCTGTCTGTGTTAGCCAAGTGAATATACCCCCTGCGCCCAAAGGTTTCCGTCCCTTTACACAACTTGATGTAAAGTAGGCGAACAAAATTAGTTACCTCCATATTGGTACACATACTTCTGGAGCACCCAAATTAGCACTGGTGAATGTATCCTAATAACTAACTATTTGTATTTTAAAACAATGATTAATATGCTTATATGAATGATATATAATAACAAGAAATGAAAAACAAAATATTGCTTTGGATACGTCCTAAAGCAAACAGCAAGCATAAATGCCAGATCATGCCGCATTAAATGAATCACACAAACAATGAATCAAGTGGAACAAGGCGATCATTAACAGGTTGTTCGACATTTCAAAATGAAGTAGTTGAATTCAATTATTTATGATAATCAAAACCAATTTTGTTGTAAGACGCTACTTGGAGTAATTTATAGTTTATTTCCCCTATTCACATATCATCTTGATTTTTTTTGATAAACATCCTTTTATTGGTACTAAGCTACACTGCGGCAAAATTAAGAGACAAGAAAATGAAATACCTCGCTTGGATCAGACTCGTCTTGATGAAACGGAGAAGCATACTTTGCAGAGTGTGTGTTGCCATCCAAAAGAATCATTGACTGCGAGTGCAACATTCTTTTGTTTGCGTTCTTATCCCGAGTTCTTCCCTTTCTTGGTTTAAGATTGGCCGAAGGAGGAGTTGGTGGTGACTTAGGTGCTTTCTTCTTTGGCCAAGGAAGTGAGGATGATTTAGACTTTTGATCACCGAACTCGCCGTCTGCTGTAGGTAGGTAACTGTCTCTATCAAGTGTCTTTGATTTTCGTATACTTGATTTTCTTGCATCTCTCAATGCAGAAGGTGAATCATGTGGCCCACTGGAAGATCGCTCATGTTTGGCAGAATATCTTCCTCTGGACTTTGGTGTCTCAGCAGAGTTTTCGATATCGCCACCCTTAGTTGTGTTACTTTGTGCAAGGTTTTCAATCTGGGTTAGAAAGTTGCAAAGAGGTGCATTGAGTTAGCGTTATTGAGAAGATAAATATCATGCAGTGAAGAAGTAGGTAGGGCAATGTCAGTTGGTCAAATAAATAGGACTAGATAATGACATCTACAAAACATATTAAATAGGTAAGTAATAATATAAAATTAGCTTAATAATAATATAATAAAACAGCTGCTAACTATACCAGTCTCTGCAAAAAGAATGTGATAAAAACTGTATCATCTACCAAATTATTGTAAAAGCAACAGTTAGTACTCCACCACTTTTTAATATCCTATATATATTGCTTATATTACGAGATGTGATGTATTTCGAATTAATTAGCAGGACAATAAAATTCTTACCAATGGTAAATCCCATAATGTAACTCTGGTTACTTCGTTACAATAATAAAAGCTTCCACTGTCTGTATCGAAAAACTGATTCCACTGAATAAATAAGATATTATGTAAATAACATGAACACACAATCCATTGCATTTTTACAAAATAACATATTTGTGACATCTATTATCAACGTTCGCCTCAAAACACCTGTATTGTTATATTATTCCTGTAAAAATTGGTTTAAACGGAAGAACTATTTTGAAAAAATTGTAAAATAATTTCCGGGATTATGAATAAATAGTATCTTACACGACTATCCTTTAACTAAATTGAGACCAACTGAATAAATGCAGATGACACAACAAATTACCTTAACACTTATAAAGATTTGAGTCTTCTAATCCATTAAGCTATATAGACAAATGTTAACATGTCACAGAAATGACTATAGTATGACAGGAAATGTGTCAACTTAAATTTACAACAAAACTTATGATCTGTGTTATATTGTGATACAACGTCATGTGATATGAATAATAAAAATAACGAAATATGAAACGAGACAAGATTTTCTTTTGAACAAACGTGTACATAAACAAATTCAATTTGCAGTCAGGTGTTTCTAAAAAGTAAAAATCGCCTCATCAGTATAATGAAAAAAATACTAATACGCAAACCCTATTTTCAAAAATGACTCAATAAAACCAATTTTTTCTTACAACGGTTATTCAGGACTTTTGCTCTAAAACAAGGCCCAATACAAGCGGCCACTGATATCTAAGAAGCTACTATTATTTGTTAGGAACAGATTCTTCCCAGTTTGCCATTGGCGTCCCAATTTATTACACAATGGGTGAGGTGAAGGTCATGGTACTTGAACCCAAGATGTACATATGCGTTGCTAACTCAGTTAGGTCTAACACAGTAATCGCTAAGACAGGGATGTGCAACATTTTTTGCCATATTACCAACCTCAGACATCTAGGCGGACCACACAAAAAGAATTTGGTTTATCCCTGCAGGAAAGGCAAGAGAGGAGAATGCGGATATTGCATAGCCTTGCAGTAATAAAGACATCGGGCAGAACGACGAATATTTAACAAGAGCAAAAAACATTTATGTATTTTAATCCATGTGAGCAACTTTTCAAACACAAACTGTCGGATTGTGATTTTATGCTTGATGGGGAAATAATCAGAGTGTTGACAAGGGCCCCACTAAATGACTTGGCACGGTGGCAGATTGTGTCGGCCTGCGTGTTGCACACCCCTGCGCTAAGACATCACGCTGTCCGAATTTCGAATGAAATTTTGAAGTGAGCTACGATATGACAACAATAAAATACAAATATTGACATGCTATTGTGAACACATTATATAATTCTCAAAAGTATAACCTTTTCAGAAATACTTGGTAAAAAAAATATGATAAAATCTCACCCGTTCACCATTTACACTGTTAATGAGAACAGTGTCACCATCAACATTTGTTTCTTTGACCCATCCTGCGGGAGTAGGGGATGGAGATTCAACAGGATTGTAGGGTGAGACGGCAGCACTAGGTGATAATGACCTTGACGTAGCTGATGACCCTCTGGAATGGTTGTGAGGTAATGAAGATGGCAAAGAATCCTGAAAATAAGTTTTGAAAAGTTTATTAGGCATATTAATACTATGATGGAATAATCACAGGTAGAGTGCGTTTGTTGGGGAAGCTGGAGTCATAAACGCGACTTGAGTTTGATCATATTAAAGATTCAAAGCGACTTCGATCATCCAAATGGAATGACTTTGACTGATCATCAACTAACTACCAGTGAGACTTCGAAATGTTTCCTAAACTTCAGTCAACACTGGCTCCAAATCAGTGGATTCCAACTCTCTTATGGCTCGTGGCCCTCTTCCGGAGGTATTTAGCACTCATGGGTGGCCCCCGTTTATCATTCCAGTGGTATTTATAGTCTTAGTTTAATTGTTGATTTTGAATTCCCTTGGGGAGCCACGAGCCATTGGTTGGGAACTGCTGCTCTAAATGGTATGAATGTGTGTTTAAGTGGGGAAAGGCAATTTATATAGCAGGCTTCGCACAAACCAAAAGAAGTAGATGGATGTGGATCTGTGGAGATAGATGTGCATGCATATGTGCATCAATGTAAAAGTCAATAATTTACTTTTATCAGCAATTCATTCAAGACACATCACTTTGCATTTTTCAAACGAGCAGAAATATAGATAATCTACAATACTTTAATAATGACTATAGATATTCCAAACAGTACTAAATTAGATTATCATACACAAACCTCTTGTTTTTCACTGCCACGCACAGGACTCGAACTTAACTCATCAGCAACAAGAAAATTATTGCTGTTGTTCTCATTGGGTTCCGTGTTTTCTTCATCTTTTCTCGATTTTCTATCAATCCTACTTTGCATGAATGGAGCTTTGCCTGGATTTTTAAATCTTGCAGGTGAAGTTTTTCTTCGTTGAAGTGGAGAAGGCCTTGTAACATGGAAATACAGTTATAATTAAAAATAACTTTATTCAACTATGAATACCAAGTTTGAAATTGGAATGATATCAATGGTAGGATTTTTAAGAAAACAGCAACTTCATCAATACTGGATTGAATGATTTGATTTTTAGGATGGTTCCTGGAAGTCTGTAAAATTAAATTAAAATAGGAAATAAAATGGTACTCCCATAGTGTGTGTACCAGGTTAGGGTTAGGCCATAATTTTATTCTGATTTTCCTTATTATAGTTCTATTACGAGTTTGGGGACTGTCTGTGTTAGCCAAGTGAATATATCCCCTACCCATGGTATCAGTCCCTTTACACAACATGATGTAAAGTAGACAAACAAAATTAGCACTGGTACACACACTTCTATAAAATAATACACTTTTATACCTTAGAACCCTTTTACTTTCTGCATTGAGAGGCGATTTATTATGAGATCTTGGAGCTGGTTCTGGAGAACTTTGTTCTGTTATGTTCTGAAATAGTGAAAATAATTTTGTTTCAAACTCTCAAGTTACTAATTATTTACAGAGATGCTTACACAACAAAAATCTGTACGCTAAAGCCTAAAGCATTGAAATAAAAAACAGTGGATCAAATCAATAACAAAAGTAGAAACTCCCAATTGGATAGAATAAGATTTTTCATATTTATCCAGGGGGAAGAAAGAAAATAAGGCAGCTTACTTATATTTGCTACAGCCTATCGTCAGGTTATCAGCCTGTATCAGGCATGGGAATAGTTAATCAGTTGATTCAAATGCATGGTCTTGAAGGAGCTGCCGACCAGGGGTTACATGAACCACCTTGCAACGACGAAGAGTCCAGCAAGAAGTCTTGCACATAAATATTCCTATAGAATTTGAACTTGCGCAAGGTAATCGGAGGTGCAATGGAAAATGTGTATCTAACGAAGACCCACCATCTCCCAAGTACTTCAAGGCTTGGGTAGCTAAGGCAGAAATAGGTTTATTGCAGGATGATATATAATGGTGCCCAACTGAATTGGAAATGCCAAAAACAGAAATAAATAGTTTCATTATAATACACCTTCATCTCAACAAAATAATACAGTACAAAAATTTATTGTTAAATTAGTAGTTGCCAGTACCAATATACATGTTTAGGCAACACCTTGTCATGAGTGATATATTTTTGCCAGTGATATCTCATGCTAAAATTGGAACATTCATAACCGTAAATGCTTCGAACATACAATTCAAATGATTAGTAAACAGCTTCAGAGATGTTTGTGCATTGATTTCCTCCGTTTCAAAAAGATTCAATACTAAAAGGCTGTTAAAATCATCGTGTGAATACCTATACTCTTTTCTCAATTTTTCATTTTATTCACAAACTAACTACTTACTGAGGTTTTTTGAGATTTCTTCAATGAATCTGTACTTCTTCTTGGTGGTTTCGTGCTCATGCTTCCACTTGCTGGATTATAATAATACCTATTGCCAGTATCGTTGTCTAAATGCAACTCCCATCCATCTTCAATAACCTATAATATAATTTGAAAAAATTGTTTATTGAGAAACAGTTTAATGACAACATTCCACTGTCAACAGAAATATTATTTCCATTGTTAGGCCAAAATCAACCTCCTGCTACATAAATCTAAAATCACAGACAAAACCAAAACAATCACATTCTTCACTAAAAAGACGTCAAGTTTTACCAAATGCAACCTTTTATGCAAGTTTTACCAAATGCAACCAATATGGTTAACATTTAAACAAGAATATCGGTAGGAGGCCGAAGACTTATCGATCGAAACTGCGGTCCCGATTCATGACTCTATAGTGACACCGCGTGTCCCATCACTAATTAATTAATAACTCGCTAATTATCCAAAATCAATAGGCTTCTGGTCCGAGATATGATGAATGCACATGCAAAATTTGGAGCAGATTCAACGATGGTTCGTGAAGCGAAAGAAGCGAAACAAGAACAAACCAATCCTGCAATGGGTGAGGATGAAGACAGGCAACAAAATGAGATACAATTATAAAAAGCGTCACTGTAGGAGAACAAAGCTTGGATTTTAAGCTTGTTCCATTCCCATCATGAGCATATAACAGATAAAAATGTTAGACTATGTTAGCATTGCACACATCTCAGGTTATAACCCCTGCTTATAACCTCACTAGTGGAATAAATTGGGTAGGTAATGCTAAATCACTCCTTCCAAAAAAGGGGCTGACATGAAGTGGTTGCTTGTGCAGGGCCTTTTTCGGGGCAAAAATCATGAATGAGCAACATGTTAACGAGATAGCGTTCAAAGATCGCCGACTTATCGATCTAGGGTATCTTTCGCTTTGACTCAATAGTGACACCGCATGTCCCATCACTAATTAATTAATAACTCGCTAATTGTAATTATACGACATAATTCATCCAAAATCAATAGACTTCTGATTCGAGATATGATAAATGCACATGCAAAAATTGGAGCGGATTCAACCTCGCTTTCGTGAGATATCGCGTGTATCTAACAGACAAACACACAAATACCTATCAACATACGTACCGATCAAGATCGATAAGTAAAAAATACATTTATAGTTACCTCAATGAGGGTGGACGATTGTGGCGAATGATGTGATGGCATCGCAGGCTTAATTGCAGATTTCCCCTAAAGTATAACAAGGTAAATATAATGATATAATGAGCATAGAATCACTCAGAAACAACTCAATTTAGATATACCGGTAACCCAATTGGATAGGCTGTATCAAGTTAGAAAAATGATGTCATTGCAATTACAATATCTCAACAGTCAAATCATTTTTATCTCAAAATGAGCTAGTAAATGAAACTAGCATACAGTCATTGAGGCAATATTTATTTTGTCATCAAATTCCCCTTGAAAAACAGGGAATAGATTCTGTAATAAATTTATACAATCAACCATATCACTTTTACAATCACATTACATTTACAACTTGACAATGCAATTGAAACAAATTAACTGAAGTGTACATAGAAATATTAAAGAAAATATCGCACCTAATTACAATAAAAAAATAAATAGTTGAAACAGTCAAAATATACAAGATATACATATCGGTATGTTATAATTTTCTATTTAAAACACTACATTATTTACAAATCAATATACCTGAAGGTTTGCATATACGTGTGTATTACTATCTGGTAAATCAGGACGTCGGAATGAAGGCTTTTTTGATACAGCAGGAGGGCTTTTACTACCACCTAAAAGAGGAAATACAAGCAAACTAATAAAATCCAGATAGATGATTTCTTTGTCTCCGCGAAGCATAGCAAATGAGGAAGACTATTGTGCCAACTGTTGAAACATATGATATAGGGATAATTCAATATTTCAATGCCTTATTTTATCTATGGAGGTTTGCAATCAATTAACAGAATAGATTTTAAAAAATAAAAAAATTACCATGTGGGATTATTTTACCACACACTAATAGCAGATACAGAGATGGCAACAGTCAGAAAGCGATAGAACATCAAGTCAATTCGAAAATATAGTCCCGGTGTTGGGATTCCTAATATAGTACACTACTAGACAAGAAGTAACAAAAATGTGTGTACAAATGGGGAATGAAATTCACAAGCTCGTTAAGTCGTAACTAAGATTAATAATTATTATTTTTCTCACTACGCTCAATAGATCGTTAAAATTCTAAATGAAAATCAAAGAAAACGAAATAACATACTTTTCTTTGAATCCATATTTGTAGTACTATTTTTATCAGGTTGCTGGTAAGCAGCATTTGGTGATGTTGATACAAAATCCTAAAAAAACATGAGTATGAACTATGAAGTTTATATTGTGACACCTAACACCTTCATTAAAAAATGATTGAGACCATATTAACAATAATTTATGTGGTAGATATTTATTTGCATATAACTGAAGAGCTGTTAATTCAGGAAAAGCATGAAATTCACCAATAAATATTGAATCAGAATTTAGATCCAAAAATACATTTTACGGTGTTGAGTTATTAGATTATGATCAAAACATATTACAATGAAATCAAATAAGTTGAGCTTGATTCATTTCAATTCACAATTAAAAATGATATTGAGAATCAGTATCAATACATACAGATAAATTCTCATAATCTGGATCTTCATCGTTTTGAGCATCACTTGGTTTTACTTGTAAACGAGACGAAACCTAGAAAACAATGCTTTGTATGGATTCATGATTTAAAGGATTCAAGACTAATAAGATAAATTTGTACTGTTCAAAAACTAGTTGATAGGGTAAAAAATATGCTCCAGAAGTATGTGAATAACAAAAACGTTTAGCTTGAATATAAGACAGTGACTATAAATATATGACGACTTCTCACACCATTCGCCAAAAATAAGGTCCTTATATTTCAGATTCGGGATTGCCTACCCAAATTATTACACCCTGCATGAGGTGCTATTGAAGTTACTTCTAATTTAATACAAGTTCAAAGCATTCAGCATTACCAGAAGAGTTTGTAATGCAACTCGTAATGAAACAGAGAAATAATAGCTACATGAGCCAATTATGATGATGAAAAATTGGAACGACCCCATCTAACAAGTTGACAAGAAAGACGGATATAATCTTTCTCATTTTAATATGTTCCATATCTAACAAAAAAATATTTATAAAAGGTGAGAATGGGTTCAAGCTATCATAGCTCATAACTTGCTTTTAATGCTGCAATCACTATTAATCAGTGTAAAATCAATGAAATCAATCAAAAATAATAACCTGTGTCTTTTTCTCCTTTGGCCTTGCGAGAGGTTCAAGTGGAACAATATCATAAGGATTTTCATTTTCAATAAATTTATCGAGTGAATCGGTGCTGGCCCGCATCTCACTACTGTAAAATAATATAAAAAAGTTTAAAGCTAGTGTACTTGAAAGGTAACTTTAGATAAATAATATTCTGATACAGCATGATTCACATTTCTGAATATCAGAAATATTTCCTGTAGATTATCTCTTGTTTAATCAAGGCAAATTTCTGTTTTACAGTGAAGGGTATCGATTGGAAAGCAATATCCTGAAAACTTTTTTGAAACATTGCCAATAGTTACATAACATATTGTGTTTGATGACCTATTTGGCTGAAAAATAGATGGAAAATTTAGAATCCTTGGGAACAAGCAAGTCAGAATAATACTACTATCGTGTTGACATTTATAAGACAGGTAATGAAAAGTGAATTTTTCTAAAAACCATAACCAACCAAATTTCGTCTACAATACAGCAACTAAAAAAAACTTTCAACTCGATATACAAATATACAATATAAGTCAAGGTATATAACAGCACCACATGTGAAGATGTTTTTTATGTATTAGTAATTCTAATATTAATTTCATTGATTATGCATTTGAATATATAGTGTTTACAGCTTATTGAACACCTGTCTGTACATAAGCGATAAAATAATTAGATCAATGGAGATGCCCCCAAATGCACTTGAATCTCTTAATTGAAAATGATGTTAAATCAATGAATGACAACTTATAAAAAATAGTTCATTTCAAACCATGTAGTTATAAGGTCAATGACAACATCGATCAGGAATGTTTTCACCACAAAATCATTTTTGATGTTATATTTTTGATGCTTTACTTGAGTAGCGTATCGTACTTTTAGCATGCAATTATAGGCTAATGACTACATTTGACAATGATGGAATTGAGAAGTATCTGACATATAAGATTGTTTGTAGTCAGTAACAAAATATTAAAAAACTTGTTCTGGAGAACAAACGTAAATATGTAATCAAAGTTTCTGGGTATCCCAACATGATTTTTAAAATGTAAGAGAAATCAATCAAGATTTGATAGAAAAACCTAAGATAGATCAATGGATTCAAATTACAGCTTCAACCTGCCTTACGTTGCTAAACAATAAATAATACATGAGCTCTGTCATACAATGAAAAAAAAAACTTTCATTTCAAATCTGTATATTTTTACAGTGACATGCAGTACAACTTTTGAATTTTGATTAATTTAAATTGAAAGCATAATAAGCAATTTAGCTTGAAGATATTTCAAAGAGACAGAGAGCATTTGTTTATTATTATTAAAGGAATGTTGAAAATTCACTTTGAATGGTCAATAAAAATCACATACAACTCTAAAGCAAGGCTTCAGTTCATACCATCTTTAAATACTAATACTACAAAAGTAAACCATTCCTTAAAAAGCATAAAATTTTATACGAAATTTATTCAGTTCATAATTATCAATCATAATGAAGCTATTTTATTGAGCAGCAATATAAAATAACAGTTCATTACATTCCGAAAAAAAAAAATCATGACTGCCAAAGTAACACATGCTAATAATAAATATAAATTTACCAATCAGCACTTACAATTTTGATGTGTGTGAGAATCCAGATAAAACACTCAAATCTTCTCTAGATCCAGTGACAACAATCATTCGTTCTTTTGATGCCTGTGAGGTTGGTCCATCAGAAAGTCTTTTGACAGTTTTCTTTGGCTTTGAGTCATCTCTCTTCTCATCACTCTCTTTCTTCTGTGATTTCAGCACTGCATTATGAGCTTTTCTAAAAAATGTACATAAATTGTTTCACTGGTTAAGATTATTCTAAATTTATCACATATAATTAAACTTTTATTAATAATCAACTCATTTGCAAAAATAAATTTGATGCAACTTTAAGTAATTTAGTGTCAAGTTACCTAAATGAAATATTCTACAATTTTGAATCCTTGAATTTTCCTTTAAACATCTAAACATGGCATACTTAGTTTCTTGGTAACATAAACATATGACATTATCCTAATCAACAAGTATTTCATTACATGACTGGCTATATTCCACCTATTATCCTAAGTTTAATATTCTAAAGATTCACATCACTTAAAACTTTATTTGGGTTTTCTATCTTTATTTGGGTCGCTTGAAAAAAAGGTTAGGAAAAACTGCTCTATAGTTTAATTTGGTCTGGCGATAGTTCATGTACTAAATGATTTGGAAACAATGGAATGGGGATTTAACACAGCAAACTATTTTTGATTCAGTTGATCAATTTCTAAACTAGTGGCATAAAAGCATATTTGAAAAATATAAAAAAGGAACCATTCTTTTAGGATAAAATTTATATTAAACAACATTGTAATGGAGGAATTCGAGTTGATACCCTTATTCCTGATAATTAAATGAAAGGATAGTTTGTAGTTAGTAGATCATAACTGTCATTTAATATTAAAAGCATACGTCCCACATTTTCGGCTTTTCGCACTTCAAAATCATAACCAAGTTTTGAACATTCTTTTCCATTACTAGGGCCTATAATGCCCAACAGAAAAAAATCTCACAATATGAAAAATATGAAGATAAAAGATAGTGAGAACAACAGAAAAGTTTCAAGGAATTCCTGATCTATGTTAGTTGAAAATGAAACATCGGATGGGTTTTCCTACTATCCATCAATATGTAAAACATAATTCTCATATCACACCTTTATCTAAGCCTTGCTTTTTCAATAAACATTCCTATTATAATACTTGTCAAAAAATTGCATAATGTTGCATAAGACAGTTAAAATAAAGAATATCAATATAAATTGATAATTGTCTAACTTGAAAAATGGATGGTCTAAAAATCTTTTCTGCTGCATTTCTTTCACATAAGCTGCTGGAACATACATTGGCTTCTTTTGCTCTAGAAGAAAATCATTTTTTAAACAGTGACTTATCATATAGACAAAGTTGAAAGATATTTGCTGCTTCAAAAGCTGGTTGTAATCTACAAACATATGCAGTGTCATCCCAATATCAAAACACTGAAATATAGTATGCGTGTAAACTTCTATTTATGCTTATTATAGTATAATAAATGCATTTCATATTAGACATTCCAAGAATAGGTCTATTATATTGCATATGGAAATATATAATACATTGTAACTTGTATGATACACATATATTTGCTACTAACAAAAAGCCGATCTTATATAATTGTCGCTCAGTTATTGGTTTTAAGGTCTAATTCATCCCAGATCTTTATGGAAGAATTTTATAAAATATTAGTAATAACATTTGGAAAGTTAGTATATATCTATCAAAATCAGAAATAAATTTACAAGACGTAAGACAACACCGTTTATTATTTTAGTTTTAAATATCAAGAATCCGGTTCTCAAAACAATATATTTTTGGATTTTGAATAATCCTTTCCTCATGGGTTAAGCAGCTGATATATTCTTAATTGCTTCCTATTAACCTATTGGTATTCCTATTAGTTCATACTAACAAAGGATTAAATACAATATGATAACTTCTATTAGTCTTCCTGTATTAGGCATAACTAACTTGAGAATTTTAAAAGAAATATTTAATTGAATACTTTTCAAAAAGTAATTTATAATACACAGCTCCAGTGAATAATAAAAATAATTGACCTTGGCTAAAAATTAGGATATTTGTTTAATATTTATGAGGCATCTATGAAAATTACATAAATGAAAAGAAATATTCAAAAGCAAATACAAACTTACCTTTCTTAACTACTTGCCACCAATCTTCATTTGATTTTTTGATAAGCACGTACTCCTCTCCTTCCGTTATTTTAATATTTCTCCCATCATTGGATTTGTAAGTATAATCATATTCCACTCGAACTACCCGACCCAAATCATTTGCATTAATTGACCTTGACATCACTATATACTCGATATTTCAGATACCAGGATACTGAATCACTACGCAGTTCTGCAGTTATAGTAACTTAGTATTTATTCCTCATCACATTTTAGATAACATTATAATATACTACTGTACTGTGACAAAACATAAAAAGTTTTAATCGACATTTATCATTCAGATTTCACTGCCACAATAGGGGACTATTGCAGTATGATAAGATATTATATTTCGGTATTTATCCCAGGGGAGTCAAAAGTCGATGAGGTGACTCAAGCATATGGTGCAGCACGGGCCCTCCTTGGACTGTTTCCCAGTTCATGTAGGGAACACTAAATCACTGTATCGGAGTATGCGAGTAGGTAAGAAATAATTCGATTGAAAGAAAAACAATTTATCCCACCAATAAAAGTCGAAGAAAAAAGTTGAAGTTTGAATGTACGTTCTAATATCAATTGTAATAATGCTATACTAATGTTCATTTTTGCACCATTGGGATTGAGACAAAACTGCGGTCCTTCCACATTAAACTATCCCACAGGACAATGGTCTGCTCGTCCTAATTAATGTTTATTAATATGGCTTCAATTCAGTACCTTCAAATTTCAGAATTTATGTAATTTTTGCAATGTATCTGTTGAGAAAATCAATCATCTTTTTTTGAATGTAATTATTCCTCAATATTCCGGGAACAGTTGAACCAGTGGAAGTTTACAAAAAGTGATATTAATTTCCACTTCACTAAGTTGGAGTGTCTTTTAGGATATTGTAGATATTTCTCAGACCAGATTTGTAATTGTGTCCTGCTTGTGGGGCGATTTTATTTATATAAATGTAAAATTGGTGGAAGAAAGCTATTATCTGATTGGTAAAATATTTTTTAAGTTAATTGGTACTATCATGTTATCAGAGGAAACAAAAGGGAATTGGAATTGGAAAAATTATCAAACATAACAAAAAATGAAGAACTCTTGTAATATAATTAGACTAATACGGCAATATGTGTATATTACAGTATTATGGTGAATTAGTGTTATTAATGGATAGATAGTTTATTTGTATACTCCATAATATACACAAATTTAAAGTGGCTGAATGGAGAATTCTAAGATGAAGATAACTAATGTTTATTGCAATATTGTTTTATTGTCAGATTGTATAAAAAAATATATTCTCCATAGACAGAGTATGGTACCAGTAATCCTGTAATCAGAGGTGTGATGTCTGGGTGTAAAACTTACCTCGGTATTCCTAACGCTTAGCACCATGACACACGCGCTACAAACATGCTTGCCATAACATCCACGCCGTCTCTAGTTGCCTTTTGCATGTTGGGAGCCTACCGTAATCAGCCCACTTCGTTCCGGCATCGTACGGTACCGGTACGACTGTACATACAGACGTACAGTAAGTCAGTGCTAAAGACAGAAAGACTAAAGTGGAACCGTACCGGTACCGTTGAGATACATTCAGACTATCGACGTATGCCCATTATAAGAACTGCTCATGGGTAACTTAGACTAATAATATTGCCTCCCCTATCGTCCTCGTCCATGCTGAGGTTCGCCAAAAATATTCAGATATCACCGTACTCTGTCGTACCGCTAGAATCACGATGGCTATTAGTCTGTTCGTGCAGAATGTCTAAATACAGAAATACCAGTCAAAAAGCAGAAAAGTGACGATTATTAAAAATTGCAGTTAAGGGTACGTACATTGGAAAGGTTTGTGTATTTTGCGCGAATTTTTTTGTTGGGCCGCCCTTTGCGAGAAAGTTCATGTTCAGATTATAGTGTTGCGATATCGGATACTGGTATTGTATTTGCAAAATTGATGTGTTTCTCCAATGTGTATGTATTTTTCAATGCCGATGTATGTTTGCAAAATAGCAAAAATGGCTTTTGTAAAGAGGTATATTTGCGAGAACGTGTTCTGAGCATGATGTATAATTCAATATTCCACTACACTTTTCTATACTATAAAATCTGTTCTCGACCATGGAAGCATCGGAGAAAAATCCCATTCATGTAGTTAAATTTTAATCACATATTGCGGAATAATACTATTTCAAGATATGATATAACAAGAGAGCTACGCCCAAATATAAGGACACGTCTGTTCGCAGTACAGTACGGTTTACCGTACCGTCAGATCAGAGCCGTTATATAATGGCTCTGGTCAGATCACAGTCTACAAATATATTCACACCAAGCGAAGCAGTACAGTAGGACTTCCAACTTTCGCTAAGGCGGTACGGTAACGTCCCCGCAGAAAAGAAAACCAACATTATTGCAATACTGTACAGGAGCAGTACCGGTACCGCAGTAAGACAGCGTAAGGAAAATATCGTAGCAAAGTACCGTAAGGACTTCGTTACGAACCATCGACGTTCGATGGCACGCGATCATTGAGGTGTATGTTGAGGTGTGTACACCTCAATGCACGCGATCAAAAAGAAGAGGAGTGTCGGCTATGCGTCCGCAGAACGTTCGGTGACGTCATAGCAAACAAAAACAAATCTCCCAAAGCTAACAGAAATATTTGAAATAAATAAAAGTAATAGCCTTCTGGAGAAAAATTTCATCTTTAACCAGTAAAAATTTCGAAGCAATCGGTCCAGTAATGAAAGAGAAAAGCGGATTTTTAGATTTTCCACTAGATGTCCAAAAAGTGTCAAAGAACAACAACAACAAGATCAACATAATATTGAAACGATCGTTATGTCCATTACGTGTCCAATAAAGGAACGAGCCGCACTAGTTTGAAAATATACGAAACTGTCTACAACAGCGTTTCCAAAACTTTTTTGGCCACAGAACGCTTAGACTTTTTCTCTCGCCTTGCGGAACACCAAAAAATGAAAATTTAAAATTGATTGAAAAATGGTGCAATGCAGCGGTTCCCAAAGGGTGCGCCACGGCGCACTAGTGTTGCCAAATGCGCCACAAAAACTAACAGAATTGCGTTAAGCGTAACTAAAATACGATTGAATATGTAACATATTGCATTTACCACAAATGTTTTATTGTTTCTTATTTTAAATGCATATAAATCAATAAATTCATTTTACCTTTTTATGTCGTTTACTTCCTATTACGTACTATTTGCCTCCAATGTTACGTAACAATAGAAATTTAACCTACTTGTTGCAATTTCACGAGCTGCAGTTAATTTATCTGCTGAATCGGTATGTTATTCGTTGTGCTGAATCGAGTTTGGCGAACATGAGATATTTTGAAGTTATTGGACACTTAGTGGACAAAACGATCGTTTTGCATTTTATGCTGGCACTCTTCTTTTTTATTATTATTTTTTTATTATTTGATAAAAACATCACTTTTTATATACACATAAATACAACTGCACTTAAAAAATGAGTTTATGATAATTTTCCACTTCTTATAAACACTTTTTATCATATATAAAAATTGGTCAAATTGAGGCCTTTCATTACGCAGTTTACATTTATAAATATAATATCTTGCACTTAATAAATTAAACCTTGGTTTTGCTCTACCCCCATTAAGATATAGTAGTATATATTCACGGTCAGATTAAGATTTAAGCCATATTCAACAGTTAGCCATGCATTACCTATTTCCCAAAATTGTTGCACAAATTCACAAAAATAAAATAAATGTAACACAGTTTCAACATTTCTCTCACAAAATGTACATCTCGGGCTTGATGTCTTATTTATTTTAATGAATAGGTCATTCGTAGGTACTGCTCGCAAAGCAAATTTAACATGGAAAGATCGAAGTCTCGATTCAATAGTGCAATGAAAAACGTTTTCATACTGTGTCAACCAATGATCCAAGTTCTTACACAATTCATTTGACCATTTTTCTATTTTCTCCCTATGCCAGGGGGGTCCAAACCCAGGCCCGCGGGCCACATTTGGCCCGCCGCTTCATTATCTGTGGCCCGCGTCGCATTTGCGCGAGGGTAAACAAAAAATCGTCTTTGGTGATGTTTCGTCTTATAAATAACCAGAAAAATCTTTGGCATATTGTTACATTACTAATCAATGTCACTGAATTGGCTAGTGTTAGGACTAGCTGAGGCAACTGGCGAAGTGGAATAATGTGTTTGGCTAATCTAAATTGTTAAGTGATTTTCTATTTTTTTTTGGTCGGGAATATATGCTAACAAAGTAGGCTTAATAGAAAACTAAAAATCGAAGGAGGAATCTATTAATTATTCTAGGTTGGCTATGCCTGATAACTACTTATTAATGCAACGGCCGAACAATATAACTCCTGTCGAGTTTTTTTTTTAACCTGCCCAAACAGTAAAAAATGCTGTCTATATGTCAGAAAATTGAGTAATTACCCTCCGGTATCTCAAGTTTGGTGAAATTCGGTAATCAACCAATCTGCAGGTATTTTGTAAACACGAGTTTGAAAAGAATGCTGACCGATTCAAACAGATATTTAACTGAATGTTTAACTGGGAAAATGCCACGATGATTGTCTGCAAGTTGTGTCGGTGACAATCTAAAACGACATTTTCTCCGTTATGAAGAATTTGAAATTTTACACCAACTGTAGATATAGTAAGATGTTTGCACGTTTTAGTGAATTTTTCGTAGTTTGGGCATGTTTCATCTTGATAAATGACAAATAATGAAAATTGTGTTTGGACAATAAAAGTGTTTGTTTTGTATTGCAATGTTCACCTATTCTTTGCACTATTGTGGTCCGCCAACAATACCAAAATGTGAGTGTGGCCCGTGAGACCGTCAACCTTGGACCACCCTGCCCTAGGCATTGAGATTTTTACATTACAAAGCTTGTCATATATATCTGGAAGTTTTATCTATGCTTCTAATATCTTCCATTAGACTAAGATGTGGATTGACCCGAGGGTTTTTTAATAAATTTTCTTTCCATGCTTGGGGTATACATGATAACATTTTTAAATATGATAGCATGTCAATATAAAAATCAGAAAAGCAATAATGATGAAAAATAATTGGAAACATTGCAATTTAGTGTTTACAATCACAGATGTCTTCAATAAAACAAATACCCTTTCTATTCCAATCTTCAATATATAACATTTTCCCTTTACTTGATATCTTTTTATTGAACCACAGTGGTTCATGCAAGTGACTTACATCAGTAATAACTTTAGATATAAAAACATGCCAATAGCATAGAGTATCTCTTAAGCATCTTGACAAAATGTTTTTAATATATATACCAAATGGATATACATTTCCATGGAACAAATTTATTCTTTCATATAAATTTGTGAAAAAAATTTCTATAGATTTCCATTAAGCATCAAATTCATCATTTACTAAAAATTTAACCCATCTTAATTTAAGACCAATGAAAAATGGTTCAATGTCTATCATATTCACTCCCCCTTCCCCTATAGGTGCAATTAACGTATTACGTTTTATTCTCTCCCATTTTGAACCCCACAGAAATTCATAGCATATTTGATTAGCTTCCTTTATGAAATTATTGGGAAGTCTTATTGGCAAAATGGATAATACATATACTGTACTAGTGTACTCAACATTGGGGGTTTGATTATCGTAATTTTTCCAAGGAAATCAAGATTTATTTTTAACCATATTTGTGCAATATTTTTCATTTTCTGGAGTTTTGGCAAAATATTCACAGTATAAAGATCAGCATCATTTTTATATATAAAAATACCCAACAATTTAAAATCATTTGGGTTCCACTTAAGTCCTCGATCTTTCATAGGACAAATTTGGCAATGATTGTTTCCCCCCAGATACAAAGCTTGGCATTTGTTCATGTTAATGTTGCATCCAGACATGGAATAGAAAATATCGGTTTCATAAAATATTGTTTTGATGCTTTTTTGTATGTGTTTCCATGACAAATCCCTTTTATGTCATGGTTTTGTCGAATTTCACATGCTATATCTCAATTATTAATAAAAAAATATATGGTGAGAGACTACAACCTTGCCTCAAACGTTTTTAACTTGAAACATTTT